AGAAGCCGTGTCACCGAGGTTACGTTCACTCACTGCTGCTCTTTATCACAAACACACCTGCGAGACAACAACAAGCATTAGGACACACGTGTTTAATACATTAAAATACAGGAAACTGCTCATACACAATGACAAATATTGTTTATATGAAATTCACTCCAGTATCTGAGATTGCTTAAATTGAAATTAAAAATGTCATTTGACTTTATTAATTTGATTTATATAAAAAGAGGACCCAGGATTGATCCTTGCGGGACACCTATACTCAAACTACTTTCTTTTTTTATTATATTACTTCCATTCAAAGCCTTGCAAACAAAAATAATCTGATTATTCAAAGTAGATAATACAGAAACAATTAAGCACCAGTGAATAAATTAAATTATAGGCAACAAGAAGAAAAAGCTTGAATAAAAATACAAAAAGATAAATAAGTAAATACCTAATGCATAGAATATCAAACAGAGAAAACAAACGAATCCAAATAACTAAAACAAACAAAAAATGAAATGTTATTTTCAATTAATCTGTAATAGAACAAGATCTCTGAAGAAATGAGCACTATGAAAATAAAGTAACTTTAAACATGTTGGTTCTGTAATGATTTAAGAGATGGCAGAAATCATATAATATAATATAATCTGAGCTGTGGAGCCTCATTACTCTAATATCTTTACTTAATCAGACTTCTCATGTTGTATTCTGTGTGACTGAACTCTTCCACGTTTAAACCTGCATGAAGGAGGGAAAAGAGGAGGACTGTAGTGAGGGTGAGGTGTGGGGAAAAGGCCAAGCGAGGCTTTGTCCAGGCTGAAGGAGGGATGGGAGGGGGAGACCCAGAGAGAGAGGGAGGGGAGGTTGAGGGGGAGGCTGATGGATGGAAAAATGCCCTCCCCTCGTGGTCTCTCAAGTGAGTAATAGAGGCCGAAATTTCATTTTGCAAGTGGCTGATTTAATGATCCAAAGGGTAATTAATGGCCTGATTATCTTAATGTTAAATATGGCCAGCAGCAATTACGCTGACCTCCTGTCTGTCAAGGTCTGGCCCCCCACTCTCGCCTCCCAATTAGGTCCTGTTTGGAGGTTTGGAGGGGGGGTGGAGAGATGGATAGATGGAGGGAGGGAGGAAAACTGGGAGAATAGGAAGGAAAGAGGGATGGATAGGAGGAAGAGGGAGATGGAGGGAAGGAAAACAAGAGGAGGATGATAAGACGAAAAGGAACAGATGGAAAAAGGAAGGGAAAGAGGAACTTGGAGAAACAGGGAAAAGAAAAGATGGAGGATGGAGCCACGGAGAGAAGGTGTAAGAAGGGAGGGAGCTGCATTAGTATGGCCGTCAGTGTTAAACACCTCCATTTTTTTTCTCTCCTCCTCCCTCCTCCCCTCCCCTGTCGACTTCCCGGTCAGACCGGAGGGAGGAATTATGTTCGGAGAGATCGCACCTCTCCTCCACGGCGCCGCCCTCGTCCAATGAGATATTTGACAGGGCCGAGCCCCGCCATCTCCAACTGTTGTCATCATCTCTTTATCTTCCCCTTTTCCTCTCGTTTCAATCCCCCGTTCATCCTCCTCCCCGTACGTCTGCCCACAGCGACGGCCGGTCCAGGTCTCATTAACATCAGCAAGTCTCGGAGAGGAGAAGGAGGGGGACTGTCGCTGCTAATCGTTTTAGGGCTGGAGCTCAGCGCCGCAAATACAATGTCTTGCCACGCCTGCTCAGCGCCACAATGCTTCATGATGAGGAGAGATACTTGTTGACATGCCTCCCTCGCAGTGGTGAGGACGGGGGACAGCGTAGCGGGGACTAAGCTGTGAAGCTCGCAGGCTGGTTGCAGTGTGGATGAACACCAACCGTGCCAGCTCTGCGGCGCCGGAGGGATCCTGTTAGAAGTCTTTCCTCCCGCCACAAACCACAAAAAGACTCAGCCGTCCTCTAAACGTTCCCATTAACCTCTGGCTGCCCGCGGTCAGCCGTCATCACCTCAGCTGGCATGGTCGCCCGGTGCCGCGCCCCAGCTGATGCCACTGCTGAAAGGGCTGCTAAGTTTGGGCACGCTGCCCGTCGCGGAGCCCCCACGGGGGCTCAGCGGCTCGGCCGGCGCTGCTGCAGCACCCTCGGTCCTCCGTTGTTGGCGCCGCAGCTCATTGTTTTAATTATCTGTCGAGTGGCACATCAACACCAGCACCCAAGGCCTGCTCAGGCTGTGTTTGACGCAGCGTGTTAGCAGGCCTGAGTGGACAGCAAGTGACAGTGCTGCTAATCCGGCCTCCTGGCCACCGGACTGAGGAGGTGGTTGGCGGACATGTGCCTCCGTCCCCTGGGCGTCCTGTGTCCTCGAACTCCCGCCCAGCCCTCGTGCCAACTCCCGACCTTTGGCAGTCTGTCGTAGAGGGTCAGCATCTTGGCCTGTTTGTGCGTTACTCTCTCCTGTGTGTGTTCAGTCTTTGTTCATGGTTCTGCTGATGGTTTCTGCTGGGATGAAGATTCCAGACCAAAACG